TAATTTTCTTTACTTTAATATTTTGTTTAAATCTAATGTATACACTCAATTTACTATTTTCATCATATATTATCCAATACTAAACTTGAGCCTACTTTGGCTATGATACAGAATATCGAAGAAGAACAGATGATATCTCGGTGACATAATGACTTGATACTTCATGCAGGCGAGTGCTTGTAATCGAAAAAAAGAGTTGAGGATTGCCTTTCATGATTGTCACTCTTCTGGGCACAGCCCTTCTTACGAGCGTACTTGATTAGTTCCACCCTCAACTTTGTAATTTCTTACAGTGGTGTGCAGGAGAGTCGCCACTCTCCTCTTAGAGATATCCAGCCCCAATCTTGCAGACTAGGAACCGATATGCTTGGTACCAGTGCCTGCTGACTCCATATGTGGCCAGCATGTTCGCCGTGCTCTTGAAATGGTTGAGTAATGCAGGCCGGGTCAAAGAAACTACTTTTGGCTTCGTCAGTTGACGGTAAAGAACCACTTTTTCTATCGCGTAAGAGAACGTGTAAGCAAAAACAACTCCGATTATTTCTGGAGGTGACCGGAAGTATTCACCTTGTGACATCCTGTGAATACATGGAAAGGGGGAAGTGCAAGTGCAGCCTTTTTAGTAAATACGTTAGCAATCTCGTAGGCTGCAAGGTAGCGTCGATGTACATTAGTACCAAGATATATGATAAGGAAGCTAACTTGGCTTCATGGTAGAGAAGCTTCATGGGTAGTTAGAATGGAGAGTGGACTCAACGAAAATGTCTTGGACACAAACAACTTAGAGACTTAAAAGAAGGGAATCTGCTTTGTAATATAGCATAACAATAAATGCTTTCTAGGGAATTGACTTCAAACGATGCAGGGAAAAGACTGTGCATCTGGCCCTGGTCAATGTACAAGGAATCTAAAAGGCACCTGCTTGTTTCGATCTTTACAAAAGAACTAGCTTTTTCCAGTTTCTTAGTATAGTTCCTGATACACCTTTACCCAAGATCTTAGTCTTCAAGCTGTTCTCCGTGCGACATATTTGTCACATACTATATCCAAGAGAATACGTTTTACATACTCAGGGGATTAACGTGAGTGATGCACATTCGGAAAAAGCTTTCTCCTTATTTTCGTGCAAGTGGACTTTAGCATGATAATCAGTGCTGCTCAGTCCATGATAATTAAATGACATTCTGGGGGTGGTTACATTGAAGATTAGAACTTTCACTTCTGTCG